AGTGAACTTCTCTCAAGGTTATTCCAAGTATTGTGGTGTTGTGTGAAACATTGAGGCATCACACTTGAGGTGCTAGGCTCACAAGGTTTTTCAAGGAATCCAAACAACATAAGGTATGTTCTACAACTAGCATTTGTGTTTAAAAGTTCCCCATGCTATGTTTGATAGGTTATGAACCTCGGAAATCAAATTTGCATGTATCATAGTAAAACATAGATCCAAGGTTTCTAGGGTTGCTTGTACACCATAGGAGTGTTAGTATGCTCAAAACCCAACAATAACATATAAGCAAACAACATGCGTAATGAGCCTTCAGCCTGACTGGACCGCCTCGCAGGCCTTCAATCTATCTGGACCACTCTCCGAGCCTTCGGCACGTCTGGACCACCTCGCAGGGCCTATAGCCTATCCGGACCGCTCGTCGGGCCTTCGGTCTGACTAACATGCCCACTTGGGCCTGTAGTCTATTTGGACCGCCCTGGGTATGTTGGCCTTCAGCACAAAGCAGGACCGCCTCAACCCAACCCCAAATCAAACAAACATGTGCACATAATACCATACGCAAGCATATACATAATAGTCAAACTGATCTAACAATTCATCAACCATAACAACATACTATATACCAGGATACCGACCTAACCTGGTCACTAAACATAACATCATCCTATATACAAGGATACCGACCTAACTAGGTCACTAAACATAGCATCATCCTATATACCAGGATACCGACCTAACCATGTCACTAAGCATATCACCATCCTAACTACCAGGATGTAAATCAATAAGCATAACATGCAATAACCCGGATACAAATCCGAAAAGGGTCGGCATTGGTGCCTTAGACCCTGTTGATATAGTGAGGAGAACTCACCTGACACTCCTGAAGTCCCGCGGATGAAACTCCAGCTGCTGGTTGACAGATTCTCGAACTGCCAACATCAAAAATACCCAATTAATAATTGGGTTCCAAGCCCAAGGTCCAACTCACACTCTAAAGGCCCAATAATCAAATAATGGGCCAAAGCCCAACATATGGCCTAATTTTCCAAATTGGGCCCAGACCTCTACATGGTCTTTCCTTAAGGCCCATCCATTATTTCTAGTCCAAACTATTGGTATTCCCATGGCCCAATATCACATAATCATAAAGGCCCAATTATGGCCATTTATGGCCCAGTTTTCCAAATTGGGCCCAAGACTCTCACATGGGCCTTATCCTAAAACCCATACAATTATTTAGTCCATTTACTTATTCTTGGAAAACCCATTAATAGTCCAATCACCAAAGCCCAATAGAAAGACCCAACTCAAGGCCCAAGTGAAATTAGGGTTTCCACATGAAATGACGATTAGGGTTAAGTGTTTCTTACTTAACCCATTAAGGACTTAGTCCATTAAGTCCAATATTGCCTTAGGTTAATTTGCCAATGATTATTAATTATTATTTTAAGTTTAATAATTAATTCAAGTGCGGGTCCTGATAATTCCCCAAAATTAGGGTTTCATGTCATTAGGGTTTTCCAAACCCTAATTAGGGTTTCCTACCCAATACTAGCCCATTAATCAAAAGGTTGGGCTTTTAGGTCAATTAGGGCTTCATTGGGCCCATTAGGGTTTCATTTGGGCCCACTAGGGTTTCATTGGGCCCACTTTGTCCAAGCATCCCCAAACGAGTCAAAACACAAGCGAGACACACCACCACCCAACACGGCGGTTGGTGGCGGCAGCCACCACCTCACGGTGGTGGTTATGGATTTTTCTATTATTATTTCGGGCACCATTTACAAATTACAACTCGATCCAAATAAAATACACACGCATACTAATAAAAACGCGCACACACACACACATAGCCACCCTTGCGGTGGCTGGTGGTGGTAGATGGTGGCAGCCACCACCTCACTGTGGTGGTGGTGGCCTTTTCTTGGTTTCCGGCTAGACAAACACCCACAACACATATTAGAAGCAGAATCAAACACCCACACAACTCAAAGCCACCACCCACGGTGGCTGGTGGTGTTTAGGTACGACAGCAACAGTAATAGCTTCATCTCCGGCGTCTGCCACCATGGTCGACTGCCATTGTGGTTCTTCATGGGCTTTTCTCGACTGAAACCCACACATATCGAACATGAGCACCCGACACGGAGGCACACACCAAAACTCAGTCATCCACGCGGAGGCGCACGACAGCATCACGGGGAAGGCGACAGAAATGGTCCTGATGGCGGCAGCCGCACTAGGCGGTTCTATGACTCGTTCATGGCCTACAACATCCCCTGAAGTCGTCGGTCTTCTGTTTCCCCACGACTGATCGCGACGTAAGAGGTGACTCCTCGTCTTCGTCGGCGGCGAATGGGAACATTGCGACAGCCGGTGGACCATGGTGGCGACCCAAATGGCGGCTGGAACACTAGTGGAGAAGAAAGAGGATGGCGGACGTCCGTTGACGAGGCAGCAAACAGAAACAGTGGCTGAGGAGGGTCCTTATGGTGGTGGCGGCCAGATGGAGGGGGTATAATGGTGGTGAAGTTGGCGGCTGGGAACAATGCATCGAGGGTTAGGGTTTACCGGGGAGGTGAACGTTATATACCCGTCCCTTTCAAACTTCGAACCATAATGACAGGAATAGTCCCTCCTCCTCTATTTTCTTTCAAAACAAATCGTTAATTTACCCTTTAAACCCCTGCTCCCATAATTCTTTTTCATAATAAGTCCAGTAGTTACAAAACAACCCTCCTCTACAAATTATTCTCAAATGGAGTCCATATGTTACTATTCAACCCCTATCACTCCAAAATATCTTCAAATGAAGTCCAAGAAGTTACCATTTGGTCCCTGCCTTCATAAATACTTACAAAAACCAATCCAGAACTTACACTTTTAACCCCCAACTTCTAGATTATGCCATTTGGCTCTCCGAAACCAACACCCTGCTAATTATTATTTAATTTTTGGGCTAAAATAATATAAAATAATAGTAAAAATTACCTCTCGGGGTTCCGGGTTTATCATTTAATTATTCTTTTTTAAATGGGATGTTACATTAAAGTGGAAACCTAATGAAATACATAATATTAAATTCATAATAATATATAAACATCCCAATTATGTGAGATGCATCAAAATAACATGTTAAATTAGAAACATGATGAAACATAATATTAAGTTCATAAAAATATGTAAGCATCCTTATTATGTGAGATACATCAAAATATCATGTTAAATTGAAAACCTGATGATACATAATATTAAATTCATAATAATATATATGCATTCCTATTATGTGAGATACATCAAAATAACATGTTAAATTGAAAAACATTGGAAACCTAATGAGATACATAATATTAAATTCATAATAATATATAAGCATACTACAAACAAACACAAACTAAAAAAATTTGAAACATGTTTTAAATCTAACTAATTTGTTAAATTAAATAAAAAAAATACAATAAATATATTCTTAAATAAACATTTATTTAATACTTTACCAAATTTCATTAATAACTTTTAGCTTTAAAAAGAGCTCGAATTTTTTTTTTCCATTCAACACTAGAAGATATTAGTTTTTATTTTAAACAAAAAGTTAATAATAAAAAATTAATCTAAGTACATCTCCGTTGATAATTTTTTCAGAAAATAATAAAAAAAACTTATTTGAAAAAAGTTTTTGCATAGGAGAATAAAACTTTACCTAAAAATCACTTCAAACACTTATTATCCATTAACTTTTTATTATTTTATGTGTGTCACATTTTACCTAAAAAAACTTATTCTATTTCTACCCCATTCTTTTTGTCTTTTTTTTTTTTTTTTTTTTGATTTTTTTGTCATTTTGTTGTTTTTTTATCTTTTATTTTTATTTTTGTTTTTGTTTTTTTGATTTTTTTTGTTTTAATAAATACATAATAATAATAATAATATTATTATTATTATTATTATTATTATTATTATTCACATTAAAAATATTTTTTTTTAGACTATTTTGTATTATTTTCTTTTCATTTAGACTACCACTTTGTTACTTTTTCCGTTCAGATTATCTATGTATTATTTTTTCGTTCGGATCATCCCTCTTTTATTTTTTTCGTTCCGTGTTTTTCCGTTCCGACTATCTTTGTGTTATTTTTCCGTTCGAAATATCCATATATTATTTTTTTTCATTTAGACTATCTATATGTTATTTTTTTCATTCTAACTATCTTTGTGTTATTTTTTGTCCTTACTACCCTTATGTTATGTTATTTTTTTTTCCTTCGAACTACCGTTGTGTTATATTTTTCTGTTCGGACTATTAAAGAGACATCAAATCAATTATTTAAAATAATAATTATAATAATAATTATTATTAGAATAATAATAATAATAAAAGACAACAAAAGACAAAACAAAAAAGAAAAAAAAAAAAGATAAAATATATCAAATCAAATGTGTTTTAAAGACAATAAAATGATAAAAAAGAGGATGTATGGAATAATTCTATATACCAAAAAAGATGTCAACAAACTAAATATTGAGAAAATCCAAAAAAGATGACGTAGATTATGATGAATTATACTTTCTCTCAACAAACATATAAAATATATTTTTTTCAAAAAAAAAAAATAGAAGAATTATTAATTCTGCTAACGTGAGCCAAGAGGTGATCTTAAATCAAATGGAGCCAAAAATGGAAAAGCAAAACACGTGTTCGGGAAGGCGTTACCCACGACCATGACCAAAGCATTTGGATTTGGTACTATTTTTTGTCCCCAACAGCCTCTTTTGTTTTACTTTTGATCTTAAAATAGACCGTGGGCCCCACAACCCATTCTCCTGTCCACGTGTCATCTACCGCCTGCGTGGCAATTTTTCCCAGATAACCTTTTGACTACACCGTATTTCCTTCCGTATAAACCACCGTAGCTACTTTTATTGAAGAAAACGCTTTGCCCTTACTTTTCGCATAAATTACGGACTTGACCCAATTTTCTGTTGGTTATTGTGTACCAGTCAGTCAAGTCACACGAAAGCCTCTCATAAATACGCAAAACCCCACCCCACCCCACACCAGAAATCAATTACGTTTTCAGCAACAAACAAACAACAAACCCTCAATAAACCCCAAATCACGGAACCACAAATTGAATTCTCTGTATGGAAGTTGAACCTCCGAATGTGAATCTCTTCTCTCCAAGCATTCTTCTGTCCAACAGGTTTTTGATTTGATACATCTTCGAATTTGTTGTTTCATTGGATTTGAGTTGTTTGATACTGATTCTTCGGGCATATTGTAGGGAGATGATTGATCAAGGAAATAAGAATGTGTACGACGATGGTGTGAGATTTGGATATGGAATGGGGGAGATGGAGAGTGGAAGCGGACTGCTTCCGATGTATGTTTCGCCTGGAATGATGATAGATACGATTCCGGCGACTGGTTTGAAAGCCGATAGCGGACTCACTTACAGTCTTCCGATTTCGAGGAAACGTTCGCGTGATTCGTCTTCGTTTGATCCGACGGTTTTATCTTTTCCGAATGTTCAGTTTGTGAATCAGAACCAGAATGCAACGTTTACGTTTCTCGGTCATGACATCTCCATGCAAATCTATCAACAACAGCTTGAGATTGATCGGTTCATTGCTCTTCAGGTATGAATTTGAATTGAATTAAGAGAATCCAAGTGCTCTAAATGAATTTTGATTTTTTGATTACGATATCGTACGTGTTTTAATTGAAATCAAATTGTTTGTTTGTTATCAATTAATTACAGACGGAAAAGTTGAGAACGGAGATCGAAGCAACGCGAAGGAGAAACTCGATGAGGTTAATCGCAGCAGCGGAGGAAGGAATCAAGAAGAGATTGAGATCTAAAGACGAGGAAATCGTGAAGATCAGCAAGTTGAATTCTGCTTTAGAAGAAAAAGTGAAATCCCTAAGCGTAGAGAATCAAATATGGCAACAAATGGCTCAAACAAACGAAGCTACAGCCAACGTTCTACGTCGCAATCTTCAAAGAATCCTAACCCAAATTCAACAACAACAACAACAAAATCAAACCGATTACGCAGATAATAATAAAACTTCAGTCGACGATGTTGAATCATGCTGCGGAAGCAATTACGAGGAAGAAGAGGTAAACGTAAACGTAAACGTAAAAGTAATTATTCCTCCTCCGAATCAAGGTAATGATACTACTGGCGACAATAATGGCAGCAGATTGAACAGAAGGTGCAGAAATTGTGGGAAGGTGGAGTCATGCGTGTTACTGCTACCTTGCAGACATCTCTGTATCTGTACTGAATGTGAATCGTCCATCAACGTCTGCCCTATCTGTAAATCAACCAAAAACGCTACTGTACATGTTAATATGAGTTAAATTTTGACACAGAACAGAAACAGGTACCTTTTTTTTTTTTTTTTTTTAAACTAAATAAAATAATAGCAATCTATTATTTTCAGTGTCATTATTGCCATTTGCCAACCAGCCAAGTTAAGTTTTTGTTTTTGGATTATTAATTATCATCGATCCAATCGGTTTTGTTTGGTCACCATCGTGGATTTATATTCTTTAACACCATTTTTGAAACAATCTTTTATTATTATTAGTCACTTTCAGTTACAGGAAAATGATTACCCATTACAGTTTTGCAATTATTATTTCCACGATTGCCGATCAATTTTTTGGTTTGTCAAATTAGTTGGCTTTTATTTCATTTCTTTTTTTTGTTATTGTTTGATAACGAAAGATCATTCATTCATCACGATCCATTAAACATAAATTGTGACCAATAACCTTCACATAAATTGAAAAAATGTAGGCCGTTTTACATGTCTTTTATTAAATTTCATAAGAGGCTGGTCCGACTTAAATATTAACTCAATGAGCAACTTTTAAACGGGTTGTAGTTTGTGTTTGTTATTACATTTGTTTTAAAATTTACTTTTGTAAAATAAATAAATCGTCAAAACATTTGACATTAGTAATTAATTTTTTTAATTTTAATGCAAGAGAAATTGGAAGGAAGAAAAGATACATGGATAGATTAAGACTATTATATTGTTAAATGTATTAAGTCATATTTTTATTAACTCATTAAGTTTTTTTTGTTCAAATTAAATAAAAGACAATAGTCTGAACAATATTGATCAAATTCATAGTGGGAAGAGTTGTGTCGAGAAAAGAAAATAGGTGAAAGACTAATGCCTTAATACATAAAGTCTTATTTTTAGGTTTATGTTTATTATTTATTTTGTTCAAATTAAGTAAAAACATGTAAAAATATGGTGATGTTTTTTTTTTGACTTAACATGTTTAATTGGTTAAACATTAAATTTTGACAATTATATATGGTTGTTTGTTTCAAACTTGTTTTTGGTTTAACTCATTAACTTATTATGTTCGAATTAAATAAAAACAACAATATTCCTCATTATATTTATAAATATTTCAATTTCCAAGGTGAGAAGAATTGAGAGGAAAAACAAAATAGATAAAAGAGTAGTGTCTTAATAAATAAAGTCTTGTTCTTTGGATTATTGAGCATCTAGTATTAGCAACATCTTATAGTACCATTTTGATGTCATCTCACATTCTATATCATCAATGGTGTTATAATACCAATTGAGGAAATAATCATCATATTAATAACATATTATAACACCCCTTATTAGAACACTAGTTGTGATATTCATGTATTACATGTGTTTATTTAAAAAAATAAACAAACATGAATATCTAAAAATTTTGAAAATTTAAATTTATAAGAAAATAAATAAAATATTAATTATTAAAATTGAAGTGCTTATTTATTTTTAAATTTTAAACTAATAATTTAAATAAACAAACAACTAAAATAATTAGATTCAATTTAAAATTTTGGAAATTATAAGGAAAGTTGCATTGATGAATTGGATATACATTTATTATATTTTAAGTATTATATGAAATTTAATAAAATGGAAAAAAACCACAAAATGACACATGAATATAATTTAATCTAAATTTACCACAAAATGACATGTGACATAATGCATGAAAAGATAACAAGTAGAAAAAGTATTTTCATTTATTAGGAATGATTGATGATATGAACAACATTTTATAACACCATTTTGGTGTCACCTCACATGCCACATCACCCATAGTGTTATGACATCAATTGAGGAAATCACCACCATGTTAAGAACATGTTATAACACCCACTAATTACCATGTCATCATTTTTTGTATTTTTTTTATTAAAATAAATACATTTTTATAAAACATAATATTTAAAAACTTAAAACAAACATAGCATTTAAATTAGACATAACATCTAAATTAAAAAAAAAACATTACAAGACAAGAAATACAAAGTTTATTTTTCCTAAAAACAACGCTATTCATCATTGTTACTCTCGAATATATAAACTTTGTTCCTAAAAACAAAGTTTATTTTTCCTAAAAACAACGCTATAATCTGTCAAGTCTTCTCGAAGTTGCTTGTGTTTATTTGCGTCCTGAATGTCAACAACTTCATGCAAATATTTTGTTGCTCCTGGTTGAAATTTACTGTGTTTGGGCTCCAATGGTTGTGTCGCATGTTCAACTATGTGTCACTTCGACTTTAGAACTTCAAAAACATGTTTTACATTCTTACGTGCTCATTCTTGTCTTCTCTTGAATAATTTATCTCTTTTTTCAACCGAGTGTCGAAATGCCTTCATGAATGTGGAATACGGAGGATATATTCCATCCGTAAGGTAATACCCAAACTTGTATTCGTTTCCATTCAATATGAAATGAGCATACAGTGCCTTTCCTAACAAAAGACCGTCAAATATTGGTGACTGATCAAGAACGTTGACGTCGTTATTGGAACCTGCAACCTCGAAAAACGCAATGCCAAATCCTAAATCTTGGGAAGCAACAGCCTCTAAAACCAACGAAGGAGATCCATGATGACCACTTGCATACTGCCGTTTTCATGACACTGGACAATTTTCCCATTTTCAGTGTGTGCAACCAACGCTTGCAAACATTTCGGGAAACCCATGTCTTTCATGTGCTGCATAAAGTTCTTGCATATCATGCAACGAAGGTCTTCGAAATATAAGTCTCCAAATGTTTCAACAATACCTTTTGACAATCTATACAAACTTTCGCTCGCAGTTCTTTCAGACATTTGCATATAATCGTCCATGGTATTTGGTGACTCGCCCATAACCATCAAACGAATGGTCGCAACACATTTCTGCAATGTTGTGAATCCCTGCCTACCTCTAGCATCATATTGCAATTGAAAAAATATATACCAAACATATATTAATTATGTATTATAAATATAGTATATTTGTATTAAAAATATGTATTAAAAATGTTGTAAATTTGTATTTATTTTGTATAAATATATAGTAAATATGTATTAAAATTAAAGAAATGATACCGACTTTCCAAGGCGTTGGCGGTCCGTAGGAACACATTCTTGCTAAAACGAAATCTTCTATTGAACTCCTTTGACCCGTATACATAATTATTCGCAAAGTAATCGCGATGTAGATGCTCGTGTCCTTCCTCGCGATTTTATTTAACATCATACGTCTTATTAGTAGAGGGCTTGATTCTGGTTGTAGTAGCTCGTCGGTGCAATACTGGTACATCATGGTGATGAATATATCGTCACTGTCATCGTCGAGGATCCACAATTTTTTTTTGAAAAGTTTTGAAATTGTAGAGAATATAGAGAAAGAGGGGAATTGTGTGAATTAAAAAGGGTAGATATAATGTATTTGTAGGTAATTTTTTATATTTCTTCAAACCCCAATGGTCAAAAAATGAGTAGCCAATCAAAGTTGTTGTTTCATCTTGTCGTCGTTATGTTTGGGTGTCCCTTAACACCCCCTTAACGAGAAATGGGGGTGGTGTAGCTGGTGTTATACCAACATTTTGGGTGACGTGGTGGGCATAACGGGACTGTACCACAAGCTCTCAAGTTATTCTATTCAAATTAAGTAGCAATACAAACAACAATGAGTTGTGTCTTTTTAACTTAAATAGTTTACTGGTTCAATCACTTAATTTAGATAATTATATAATGTTATTTTTTGCTTAAGTTTAACAGAATTACTTAATGGGTCTAGTTTAAAAAAACGGCTTAATATATGAAGGCTACTAACACTTTATCTATTTTCCAATTATTTTTTCTTCTTAACTTTTATTGTGATAAAATTAATAAGAGAAATTAAATGTCCTCTTAGGTTCTTCCTATCCATATGAAATGATAACAAACTAGATGAAGGTCACCCGCGCCATTGGCGTGGGTTTGAATGGTCTAATATCAAAGCAAATGGTTTTTTTGCTAAATCAAGAAATAGGAATGTACTTTCATAAATTTACATATTGTAGCATCCTACTTAAATTTATTACAACATTGTAGTCTCATCAAACACTTGTCCTGCAACCCTAATTTTGAAATGTTTCATATAACTTCAGAACCTTGCATGTCATGACAACTATGTAAAACATCAGGAGCATCATGAGACAATTTTAGCAAATCAATAATGAAGGCCATCTTTTCATAATCTATTTTCATAATGGAAACCTGTAACATGTCACAAAAATACAATAAATTTTTATTGGTTGATAAGAAATAGGGTTACTACCTTGTAGGCCTTACAACCCTTTTCATAATTAGGCTTCCATTCACAATAAAGGCCAACAACTTTGTATCCCTCAATATGGCATGTGGCATCATGCGGAAAATGGGATTATCAACATAAACAATGTTATCTATTGCTAATTCATCAAAATGCAGATATCGAATATGTGGAAGCCTTAATAAACAATGGTGTGTATCCTTACCAAAAAAACTAATTGCTACAAGTTCATAAATAATCCTTGTAACATTGACAAAATTTGGTGGTGAAAATGCACAGGAAGCCAACACAACACCTATTTAATGATATGATCAAAACTTAAAACTATGAGTTATTAAGAAAAGCAACCATACATCTAGCACTCTGAAACATCTCATCTAGCTTTTTCCATATAAAAGATTGACCCTATAGAAGCTTATATAACTTGGAATGTCATCTTATTGTTTCACCGTGATTCTGCAGAATATGCCCACAAAATTGATTAATAATATCAATTAACCAACCTAGCCCCAAATCCATAAAATTAAAAAAAAAAACAAATTAAGGACAATTCTGCAAACCTTCAAGAACAACCGGATGAGAGCCTGTATAAATTCAAAGTTGTTTCCATGCGACAATTGATGTCATATAAAAAACCATTATTAGAGGCTTCAAATTTTCACATA